ATTTTGAAGTGACAAAGTTTTAGAAATGGAGGACAGATTAGTGGCTGTCAGGGGTAAAGGGTTGGGGTTGGGTGGGCAGGAAGAAGACTGGCATAGTTATTAAAGAACAACACAAGAGATCCTTGCAATGTTGGAAATGTTCAGTACGTTGACTGTGGTGGTAGACACATGAACCCACATAGATAAAAAAATTGTACAGAACCCAACACACACACGCACACGTGCGCACACACACAAGTACACAAGTAAAACTAGAGAAATTAAATATGATCCATGGATCGTATCAATGTCCATATCTTGGTTGTGTTATTTGTTGTAGGCTGAATTCTGTTCCCCCAGCCAAATTTATATACTTGAAGTCCTAACCCTCAGTACCTTAGAATGTGACTATATTTGGAAAGGGTCTTTAAAGAGATAATTAAAGTAAATGAGGCCGTATGGATGGGCCCTAATCCAATATGGTTGGTGTCCTTATAAGATGAGGAGATTAGGACACAGACAGGCACAGAGGGATGACCTTGTGAAGACACCAGGACAAGACTGACGTCTTCAAGCCAAGGAGAGAGGCTTCAGAAGAATCCGAGCCTGATGACACCTTGATCTCAGACTTCCAGCATCCAGAGAAGTGAGAAATAAATTTCTGTTGTTTAAGCTACCCAGTCTGTGGTACTCTGCCCAAGAAGACTAACACAGAAATATACCATAGTTTTGCAAAATGTTACCATTAGGGAAAACTGAGCTAAGTATACAGGGAATTTTTTTGTATTTCTGACAACTACGTGTGATTCTACAATTATCAATAACAATTTCAATTAAAAAATCATAAAAATTATCAGGGATAACACATCCCAGTTGCATGCTTGTTCCTTAATAATTCAATCAAAAAGCTATTAAGTAGGGCCACATACAGAAGGTAAAAGGAGAACCAGTGTGAGGAATCAGCGCCCAGACAGGGCAGGAAGGACACTTATGCACAGGGCAAAGGGACATTGATTGAATAACAAGTAGACATACTGAGGACGATGGAAGCCGGCCTCTCACTGTTGGAGAAATGAGTTACAAATACGAAAAGAGAGAAAACTAGAATTGACTGTGATGCTGGGTGGGAACTGCAGATATGGGTTTGAATTCATGGTTTTCTATATGGAGAGATATACAAATAAATATACTTGAAACTGTGTGCATGCATGTATATGTATGTATATAAATACACACACACACACACACACACACACACTCCCTAGCTGGATCCACTAAAAGTGTCTGGAAGCAGCACACCCCAGGAGCAACGAACATATCTACTGCCTAGATCTTGGTCTCTAAATACTGAGTGACCAAGGACTCCCTGGAGAAATGGCTGGTCCCAGGTCTAAGGCAGGGGCAGTAATATGTGACCCTGGATTATCTGGGGTACCAGACAGTAAATAAGTACTCAAAGAATTGTCCAGGACCTGCCCAAAGGACACAGAAGCTATTTTGAAGGGGCTCCCATCAGACAAATCTGGGACAATTTAAGCATCAAAATAAATACTGATGGCAATACAGTATAACCCATTGAATAAAAGGGAATCTATTATAATAGTATAATGACAAAATAAATAAATGAATAAACCAATGGGGACAAGAAAGCTTTTACAGAATGCCAACTAACAAATGTACAAGAACAGTGGAATCAGACACCCTCTGGCCACCATGACAGTAGTGACCGACTCCACCCAGAAACAAAGTGATGCCAAAATTCACGGGGGAGAGTTGATGAACAGGATATTTACATCATATCAAAGTCTTTCCCCATAAAATGCTCATTAATTACAAAGGAAAAAGTAACTTTACTGTATATAAGCCTGGCCTACACCACCTCAACCAAGCAACCTATGCCCCATCACCAACAAGGGACAAATTACTGTGTCCCGTGGCAGGGTGACATGAGGACATGGTGCCATTTCTGAGGTACTCCTGCCAAAAACATCTGTTACCTTAAATCACAAGGAAACATCAGACAAACCAAAATGGAGGGACTTCCTACAAAATATCCACCTGTAATCTTGAAAATGTCTAGGTCCTAAGAATCAAGTCGCACATTAATTGAAGGGGACAAAATGCCACGTGTGACCCTGAACACTGTCGGGACAACTAGCAAACCTGAATGGGGCTGGGGTCTTCACAGCCACATTAAGTCCCTGATTTTGATGGGGAAATTGGGGCTGGTCAGCAACTCACTCTCAAATCTTTTAGAAAAAAGTTCTCTACTTCCTTTTTGTATGTTTGCAATTATTTCAAAATAACGAAAAAGGGAAAGGTGGCATTAGCTTCATGCCAGGTATCAATACCTGTATGTTGAACTCTCCCATTTCAAAGCAGGCCTTTTCCTTGTCTCTCTTTAAAACCTCAATTTCCTTCCTGTTGAAGAAACAAAATTAACAATATCACTTCTGGCCAACCAGTTTCTTTTTTCCTGGCTGCCTCCCACTGTACCAACAGCAGCGAAGAAGACTTGTAGCCACATAACAGACCCCGCTGCCTGCTTCTGGTACTCTACAGCCTCTGCTATGTTACCGTTTCTGTATTGCTGCTACAGCTAGTGATGAGATTGATCTAATCCTGACCCCAAACCAGGGAGAATTTAGGAATGTGAAATTGCTCAGATTTTTAGAGATGTAATATGTTGCCAGTATTGTTACAACAAACACCCTCTGTGCTTTCCTCAGTCACACACACTATTTATTTTGCAAAAAGTAAAACCATTCACACCCAGCAGCATAAACAAAGGCCAAAACGGAGACATCTACCAAGGTCCTTTGCCAAAGGAGTCCTTGTGATGACCTCAAGAAAAGCATGGTTTCTTTAAAAAAAAAAAAAAGAAAAGAAAAGAAAGAAAAAAAATCAGATTTCAGAATAGCCATAACTGAAAAGCCATGCTTTTTGACCACAGCTCCAAAATGCTACTCCTAAGGGCATTTCTATGCAATAGGAACCACATTCTCAGCACTGTAGAGCTGAGTTAATCTTGAAATTCACAGCCGAAAAAAAAAAGCCAAACTGTCGTTGGCAGCTACAGTAGTGACAACAGAAATCCAACCTCTCCAAAACATACTCTCTCCCCTTCCACAGTGCCCTGCCCCTTGCCCTGCCCCTCACTGACGGCACTCCCCGTCCCTGCCCCTGACCTTCTCTGATGGT